AGGATCTCACATGTATTTATCATATCATATGATTATTTATTAAAACAGTGGTATGCATTATGTGTGCACAAACACACACAATGCCTAGTTACAGCGTGCACATACACAGACACACAGTGCCCAGTCACAGTGCACACACATATACTCACAGTGGCCAGTTTCAGCGCACACACATAGAGTGCCCAGTTACAGTGCACACACACACACACACACATTGCCCTGTTACAGTGCACACACACTCACACACAGTGCCCTGTTACAGCACACACACACACAGTGCCCAGTGACAGAGCACACACATACACACACATACACAGTGACCAGTTATAGCACACACACACACAGTGACCAGTTATAGCACACACACACACAGTGCCCAGTGACAGCGCACACACATACACTCACATACACAGTGACCAGTTACAGCACACACACAGTGCCCAGTGACAGCGCACACNCACACACACAGTGCCCAGTGACAGCGCACACACATACACTCACATACACAGTGACCAGTTACAGCACACACACAGTGCCCAGTGACAGCGCACACACATACACACACATACACAGTGTCCAGTTACAGCACACACACACAAAGTGCCCTGTTACAGTGCACGCACACTCACGCACAGTACCCTGTTACAGCGCACACACACAATGCCCCGTTACAGAGCAAACACACACAGTGTCCTATTACAGCGCACACACACACAGTGCCCTGTTACAGCACGCATAGTGCACTGTTACAGCGAACACACATTTTATGCTGCCATCTGGTGGCCAAAATTCAGTACTACCATTTAGAAACATTAAAATGATCTTTTCTGATAATTGCAATACTTATATTTGGCCAGGAGATGGCAGCAAGAAAATAGAAAAATAATTTCCCCACGCTTATAAGGATAATTTACAGGGTAAATTTATGTGCGTGTGTGTGTCTGTGTATGTTTGTGTTTGTTTTACTACACTTTGGGGACAATTTTATCAAATGTGATCTATGCAAACCCACACACACACAGTGCCCAGTCATAGCGCACACACATACACACAAAGTGCCCAGTTACAGTGCGCACACACACACAATGCTCTATGTGGGCACTGTATGTGTGTGTGTGTGCTGTAACAGGGCACTGTGTCTGTGTATCATTGTATCATGTTCTTCAACACTGATTGATGCATCTTCTGCTTCTTGCTGCTATTATACCCTGAAAAGATCAGCATGCATGATCAAGCAAGCATAATTATCATTGCTCTGTCATCCCTTGTTCCATGACATGTTCATTCTTCAATCATCTCTTGCGAATTAGGCTAAAATGGCACTAGATGGTCTGCTCTTTAATCACATCAATACATGTCTGTTAAGATTATGCCTCGTTCATTTAAAACCAGTAGGTTAGTCCAGTACTAAGATGCAGAAGCTGACCTTTTGTTACTCTTTCCTTTTGCTCTACTTTTTCTTAAGTTGTTATGTATTATTTTTCTTTCCCTGTTTTTCTCTCTCTATCTGACCCAACCTTTTTTTCTTCTCTCTTTTCTTTCTCTCTTTTTCCCCTCTCTTCTTTCTCTCCCTCCTCTCTTCCTTTCTTTATCTCTCCTATTTCAGTTAACTTTCCCTGTCGGCTCCGGCTTAATAGCGCAATACTCCAAAACGGTGAATAAAGAGTATATCTCAAGTAACAAGAAGAGCTTAATCCTAAGCCCCACTTGGCAAAATAAAAGTGTTGGCACAATATAGCACCCAGACTAACATCCTGCTTGCTAAACTACCGGACACGACAGGGGTAAAAAAAATAATAAAACCAGCAGGTTTTATATTATGAGTGGCTGCAATGCAGTATGTAGGATGCGCCATTCCAAATAAAAAATATTACTTTCCAATGCATGGCCAGACCACCGCTCAGGAGATATTTCACCAGCTGTGTGATGCAATTGAGAATGTCGGTTTGCCATGGAAGAGGTTTGTTGGAATAACAACCGATGGAGTGCCATTAATGACAGGGAGTAAAAATGGACTGGTGGCACTTGTTCAAAAAAAAACTGGAAGAGGAGGGTGTGGAGGAGACCATTGCTCTGCACTGCATTATCCATCAGCAGGTCCTTTGCAGCAAATGCCTGAATTTTGACAATGTGATGTCTATCGTTGTGAAATGCATCAACCAAATCAGATCCAGGGGCTTAAAGCACCGAAGGTTCTGTGCTTTTTTAGAGGAAATGGAGTAAGAATATGGGGATGTGCTCTACTTCACCGAGGTACGTTGGCTCAGCAAGGGAAACGTATTGAAGAGATTTTTTTAGTTGAGAGCAGAAGTGAAAGCCTTCATGGAGAAGGATGGAGTGGCTGTTCCTGTGCTAAGTGATCCCAAATGGCACAGGGACTTAGCTTTTCTTGTTGATATCACACATGAGCTTAATGTACTGAACAAGAAGTTACAAGGCCAGGGGCAACTTGTCAGTGCTGCCTATGACAATGTGAGAGCATTCTCCACAAAACTTGTGTTATGGAAAGCCCAGCTTTCACAGACAAACCTTTGCCATTTCCCAGCATGCAAGGCACTCGTGGATGCAGGCACACCATTCAGTGGTGAGAAGTATGTTGATGTCATTTTGAAGCTACATGAGGAATTTGATCACAGATTTGCAGACTTCAAGACGCACAGAGCCACATTTCAAATTTTTGTGTACCCCTTCTTTGATGTGCAAGATGCCCCTTCTGTGCTTCAAATGGAGCTCACTGACCTGCAGTGCAACTCTGAACTCAAAGCAAAATTCAGGGAGGTGAGTGGAAAAGCAGACAAGATTGGGCAATTTTTGAGAGAATTGACCCCTAGCTTTCCCGAATGTTCAAGCGGATCATGTGCCTTTTTGGGAGCACATACTTGTGCGAAAAGCTCTTCTCCACCTTGAACTTCAATAAGTCCAAGCACAGGTCCAGATTTACTGATGATCATCTTCAAGCCATACTGAGGGTCTCAACTGCTTCCTCCCTCAGGCCGAATGTGGCTCGGCTATGCAAGAGTAAGCGCTGCCAGGTCTCTAGCAGCGAGGAGTAGGCAAGAGAAGCCATGTTCAGAAGAACAGTTCATGATCTTCAATGTTCCATTCATGTTCAGAAGAAGGCTAAAGGTTAAAGAAGTGTTAATATAGACATTTAAATCTGAATACAGCAGATATAGAAGAATGAAGAAACCACATATAGTCGCTGACTAGACAAATCTAATTATTATTTTATTTATTTATTACTGATTGATTAATTTGTTTTCTTATTAATTCTTAATTTGTTTATTTTTTATTATTGCTTATTTTGTGTTAAAAAATAAAAATAAAGACATTTGAGAAGATTGGAATTTTTTAACGATGCTTTTCTTGTAGAAAACCTGATGCGGCCCAGCCTCACCCAGACTCACCCAGACTCTACCTCCAGCGGCCCCCAGGTAAATTGAGTTTGAGACCCCTGGTTTAAGAGCAGTGCTGAAATTAACCTGAGGGGGCGTCACGGCTGAACCGTATAAGCTAGGAGTCTGAAATTTGGCAAAGCCAGACTAGATGCGTACCTGAATGAGTGTGCCACATTTTATGGCTACAGCCTGCAGTGACCTTTTTAATTTCCCAAGGTCGCCAATGTAAGTGAATGGAATGATACATGTCTTTAATGGTCAGGTTCACCTTAAGGCATAAATCATTTCACTTGCTTGATAGAAAACTCAAATCGTCTAGATAAGAACATGAATGCTCAGGGTGCAGTTTACATTTTAAAACTTATTGTAGTATTAGTTTTGCAGACACATTTAACACACTGACCACAGACTGAAGGACAACATTACAATATAAAACACCACACAAATTTTAAACATCAGTGTTCGGTCGTTAACCCCACCACACACACTGCAACTTTAGAAGGTGTGGCTCTCTTCTGTTGTAAAGGTGCTCTCTACAAAAAAATCACCAAATTAATTTAAGAACTTAAATACTAAGAAGACAGCTTTGCTAAATTTTGAAATTTTAACCAAATCGCTTACATAGACTGTTACAACTCACTTTCCCTTACGTTTTTCTCTTTTCTTTTTCAGCATCTTTAATGCCTCATGTCTTTTTAAAACAACCTTGGGGGAAACACAAAATCTATTAACTCTTTTTCTAAAATCTTTGGGACTAAAAAGCCTTCTGGCAGCCATTGATTTCCTGCCTGCTACTCGATGATGGCGGTTTAATGGGTTGCAATATGCAGTTCCAGTCACTTGGTCTCCTTCGGTTGCGTCTTCTGTTTTTGGGTCCCTGTCTTTGTCCACAGTCCCGTCAGTCTGCGTCGTGTGGTCTCCTTCGGTCGCGTCTTCTGTCTTCACGTACCCTTCTTTGTCCATAGTCCCATCAGTCTGTGTTGTGTGGTCGACCTTCGGTCAGGTGAGGTCTAATTTTAGTGAAGGCCTCAAACCAGGAGTACTCCCTATTACTGAGGGCAATTTTTGCCTGCCCGAATGACCCGGAAGTCTTGTGGCTGGAGACCTTTGAGAATGGGACAATGTGTTACTCAGCATGGTGGAAAACAGCAGGTGAATGTAGTCAAAACAAACATGACTTCCATGAACATGTTACACAATTTAAAAATTCAATTCCATTCAGTTTCTACTTATATAGCGCCTTTCACAACATTGCTGTCCCAAGGCACTTTACATTGGTATGGCATCCAAAAAATGAGCACAATATCAATGAATCCTTGAGTACTCATGTTGATGACATATTGTTCATCCATCACCTGGCACTGCTGTAACTCAATCATTGTGAGGTTCAGAAGAACACTCACACGGTGCTTGGTGCATACAAATACTTAAGTGGTCAACGCGCCTATGGCCTTGTTCCTAATGGTGATATTAAAGGGGTTTTAATACTTGTTTGGTTTCCAGAAAGTTCATCTGTGAGCAAAATAGAGCAAGATATTTGCAAGACATTCACAATCATCATATTATATTAAATAAACCATTAAGACACCACTGCCCACAAATTAGGGGAGAGCACGAACACAGCCCCCCGCTACCAGAAATTATGCAGCCGAAAATTGCCGCATTTGGGGAATTCGCAGGGGTCACAGGCTGCCCACTTACCAAAACTTTCCGGAATCTGGCCCCACAGCTCTATGATGAGCTCCGCTAGCTGCTCCCGGGTCGGCAGCCACTTCGATTTACGGTCTTTGACATCCTGCCGGTGCCCTACTGTTTTCTTTGACAGGGTGTATGCCTGGCATTTCAAATTCCATTGTAGGCCTTGGCTTGCTTTCTGTCAAATTCAAATTCAAATTTTTATTTGTCACATACACAGTCATACACAGTACGATATGCAGTGAAATGCTTAGACGACTGCCCGTGACCTTAAAATAAAAGACTATTAATAGGAAATAAATATGAAAAGAAAATAGAAAGTAAATTTAACTAAGAGAGAATAAAATATCTGTACAATACAAAATATACAATATAAGAAAAATATAAGATAAAGGCGGACAGAGGATGGCCAGTTGTGCATACTGCGAGAACATAATTCTTGCAAGTGGTGACTTGGAATTTGTCAGCCAATGACTTCACCCAGTTGTTAATGTTTGTTGGGTCATTTAGAAATTTGAGATGGGCAGGTGCTGACTGCCGAAGAACCCCACATGAATGCAATAAACCCTTTGACATACATTAATTCTTGCTTGCTGTTTTGGCTCATTTTCTTTGTTGCACCAACCCGATAATGGCTTGCCTCGTAATCAGAGAGGACTTTATCTAGAAGAGAGGAACACAATTAAAATGAGTGCAAGATATCATAATGTAATAATCATTATTATACTAACTTGCAAAGAAGAGCTTGTGAGCTCCTTCACTCTGGCCTGATGACGTGGCCTCCTTCGCCTGCTCACGTTCTTCTAGGCGGGCCTCCAACTCTTCAATGCGCCATTTCATTCTCGCAAGCTTGTTGTCCTGCTCCTTCAAATTATGCTTGTGCTGTTCGACGGCCTTCCTGGTGGTGCCACGCTTTACTAGTTGCACTAGGGTCTTCAGTTCAGGGCCACTGATGTTGTGGTGCACGTTCAGGTGCCTGTCTACCCAGGTCACCGGACTGGAAATCCAGCTCGTCTTGGAGGAGATGAGCAGCTTTCTCTCCTTGTTGCTCTTCACCTGGTGGACATCCCTCAAATGCACTGTCACGTTGACAAAATTGACATAGCAGATTGGGCAGGCCTGCTTTTTGCGGGCCATGATTTTTCAAATCCCTCCAAAAAAACCCCACTGCAATTAGATATATAGATAGACAGATTGACAGATAGATAGATATTTAACTTATATTGAAGGAAATTCAAGTTGCACCAGTAGCAGAAGACAACCATACATGACACACAATTCAATTTATATTTGGTTACGCTTTACATTGACTGCACCCTCATAATGCCTTTATAATGCATTTGTGGAACATTCAGTGTACCTTCATAATGCATTCATAGAATACTTATATGCGGCATGTACATATACCACAACATCCTAACATATCTTAACAGTTTTAATACACATTAATAACAAACATATGACACATTACATCAAGTATATTTGACTGTATTTGATTTTTTCTAAATAATGAAACATTATATTTATATTTCTCAAAATGAATCATTATATCGACACACAGCCATATGCTACATAGTAAACTGAATAACTACCTACCAGAAGTACTGCCAAAACTAGTTCAGTAAAGAACTTTTTTGTTCGGTTCTGTGCTACTCTTTTCAACTTCTGAGACTGCAGTTCTGCACAGTTATGAGCGGCCTGAGAGGAGCAAAACCTTTTATACAGTACAGCCCCACCCACTCTGCTGATTGACACAGACTCACCCCAATGAATGATCTCAATTTATGAGTTATAACTGTTTAAAGACATTAAAAATGTTTTCTTTTGTGGAGCCTGAACTGAGAGACTTTAGCTGCACAACTTGGGTGTTGCCTCGCAAAGTTGAAACATTGTTGTGAGTGCTGAGCCTGATATATGACGTGACCTGTTGCTAGGCAAACTTACTGTACTAGACAAGGACTCTGCCCTGCCATATGTTACCAGAAACTCAAACTCAAAAGCCCACTGCACCAGTTTCATAAGTGCTGCACTCATGAAACTTGGTAGCCTAATTTATACATGTATCTCGTTTGTGCATGCCAAATTTCAGACCCCTAGCCCGTACAGCTCGGCCGTGATGCCCCCTCATGTTCGTTTCAGCACTACACTTAAACAGCTTCCCATTAACTTGCATTGGCAACTTTAGCAAACTCAAAAGCCCACTTCTATTAAGACAAACTCATAGGTGGTCCTGCAACTGGCCACATCGCCCTGTAGCATAGAATTAAAGAAATATGTTGAATGTCCCCCTGTCACTGTGATGATTTGGGAGTGTGGAAGTAAAATTGGACATTGGTAGGCCCGGGAGGGGAGGCATATTAGTGGGACTGAATCTGTTTAGCCTTGAGCAAAGGAGACTAAGGGGGGATATGATTCAGGTGTATAAGATTCTAACGGGTCTGGATGCTGTTCAACCAATTTACTATTTCAATATTAGTCTAAATA